CCTGCGCAGGCGCAGACGGCCAGTGCAGGTGGGCTTCGCGGGTCTGGTCTCCCGCGGCGGCGCAGCTCCTGGATGTCTGACAGTGTATGCCCTGGGCTGAGGTGGGACACTGGGAAGGAGCGGAAAGGGACAGAGAGCCCGGGAACACAGCACACAAGCTGTCGCCTGAGGGCTGAAGTAGGACGCCCGGGTTCTGAGGTAATCTTTCCAGACATGGCTTTGCTCCCCTCACGTGTACGTTAAAAGTTCTCCACGTGTGGAGACAGCCATTGCTTTCCCTCAGCTTTGGAACCGCGTCCTCAGCCCTGACCACTCCGTCCCCCCGCGGGTCGGGATCGGAGACCACGCTCCAGGCCCCGCCCCGCCGGCCTCCTGAAGTAGGACGCCCGGGTTCTGAGGTAATCTTTCCAGACATGGCTTTGCTCCCCTCACGTGTACGTTAAAAGTTCTCCACGTGTGGAGACAGCCATTGCTTTCCCTCAGCTTTGGAACCGCGTCCTCAGCCCTGACCACTCCGTCCCCCCGCGGGTCGGGATCGGAGACCACGCTCCAGGCCCCGCCCCGCCGGCCTCTGTTACACCTGCCTCTGTTCCCCCCCCTCGGGCCCGCCTTTCCGGCTCCGGCTCTGGCTCGTGGCCCTCTTCGGGCTCCCACCTGCCCCTGCTAGGTCGCGAGTCCCCTCCAGCCCTTTCTGTGGAGGTTTTAGCTGCTCCCTTTCCCACTCATGTCCTCTCTCCGCCCAGTTCAGTACGTTGTAGGTCCCTGTTCACCTAAGTTTAACAAATGGTGATCTGTATAAACGTGAGTGCAAACTTTCCGGCCCCCACCGCCTACGTGACAATGCCTTCCTGCGTCCGAGTGGGGCTCTGCTCTTTCATGCTCCCAGAAACGCGTTCTGGTTTTAAAAGATGGCCCGGTAGAAGGAAAAACGTCAGCGCAAAGAGCTGACAACAGTAGTAACTTGGTTTCTAGTTTCTTAATACTCTCACAAATGGGCCGGGGATTTAGCTCAGTGGTTCGGTGGCCTGCCTTGCAAGCGCAAGGACCCGAGTTCAATCTCCGGTACAAAAAAAAAAAAAACTCACAAACGGAAAAATAAGCCTTATGATGTAAATGGCTCAAATATGTCTTGGGGCAAAAAATAAAGAATGGGAAAAACAAGCCTGGGATGGCCATAAGATGGTAAGGAGGAAGTATTGAAAATACCAAGGAACACTTTACTTGGAATCATGACAGAAAGCCAGGGCAGGGATTTTACTAGGTGGCTCCATTGTATGTACAACTTAAAACAATGGTTGGTTTACAAACTCATTAGGAAAGAATGATGGAGAAAGTTAGAGTTAACTGAGACCTGAGCTGGTTAAAAATATTTTTCTGAAAAAATATACTCGAGCTTTTTCAAAATTTCTCGTTTGAATAATGTTGATGCATCTTAATATATGATTGAATAAGTGATGTGAGAATTTTGAAATGTACATAATTTTATGGGTTTTGTTCTCTGCAGAAGTATAGAAAAGTAGCACTTTTTAATTGTTTCACATACCTTTAAAATAGTTTATTTATATTTTTCCTTACAAAAGTGTAATTTTGCCGGATGCTGTGGTGCACACTTGTATTCCCAGTTACTCTGGAGATTGAGGCAGGAGGATCACTAATTCCAGCCCAGCCTGGGCAGTTCAGAAACTGGGAATGTAAGGACCCGGCTGTTTGATCCCTAGTGGAACACACACGCGCACACACACACACACACACTTTTGTGACTTTTAAATTGTCAGTTTCATAATTTACATGCTTAAGAAATGTTTTATGCCTATCATTCCAAAAAATAGGAATTTATTTTCTGAGTGAGATAGCAAGGTTCTAGATATAACTTAGATTATCCCACGAGTAAATGTCATCTGCCATCTTTTGGAGAGAAAATGGCTAAGAAATATACAACAAATGTATTAAATGTTTTTAAAAGGATACTGTTGCCTCTGAAAGATGGTAATACAGAATATACTCATCTCGTTCAGTTTTATTTCTTGATGTCTTTTTAAAAATCTTACTTAACGAAGGAAAGAAATTTGTTAAACAAAAAAACTGGCAAACAGGAAGGGAACTCAGGAAAAGTCAAATAAAAATGTGTAGGAAAATAGTCAGATTCAGTCAAGTTTCTATAACAAACTGGAATTTTATCTAGATGGGTAGTAAGAGGCTGGGGTCAAAGTGGTGATATTTATGAGAACGGAACTGAAAAAGAGCTGTTTTCTTTAAGGAAATAAAACCTTGTACCTTCCAGGTTTGGCCCTGGAAGGACTGAGGCTTTCCACTCTCTGGCCCTGGGAATTTCACTTTTCTCTTGTGATTCTTTCACATTGATGCCTGCTTTCCCCAGCAATCTGGCTTCCAGAGCCCTCTACTTCAATATTGCATAGCTCTTGTCTTGGTCCTACTTAGCAAGCTGAGAAAAACTGAGCACCACCAACCACCTAATGTACTTAATAATGTGAAAGAAAAAATATAATGGCTAATATTTACTCAAGTGTTTGTTATGTGCCAAGCTCTCCATTATCTTACTTAACCCTTTCAACTAGGTAAAATAAATTATTACTGTTACATAATATGTTACAAAGCTAGTAGGGTGTGAAGGAGTAAAGTGTCCCATTTCACATGGCTATTGAGTAGCAGTCGAGATTTGAACCTCTATGCCAGGATTTAGCATAATCACTGATCTTTATTGAATTTCATATAACAACAAATATAATACAAGAAACAGGAATTTAGAAAGCTCAGCATGATGTATAGTTAAGTTTAGCTCCTAAAGACTGATCCCAATGTACTGGTATTTTCTTCACTATTTATCATCTTATCGGCACTGGACAAGTCTGTTCATTTTTTTAAGGTGCTTATTATGGCCACCTAAATTGATTTTGCGACACATTAATGGATTGCCACTCTGAAAAATGCTGTTCAGAATGTAAAATATCAGATTGTATCACATGTAAGAAGAGTAATTTTTCCTGAAACACAAATATGGAAAAACTAATGTGTCAGTAATATGTGTATATTCTGTGTTGTGGTGTTAAATATATTTCTTACTATAGATGTCAGTTAAAAACAGTTTTAAAACACTACTGTAACTACTGTTATAGTTTGACTCTGGAATATCCCCTAGAGGTCCTTGTGTTAAAGACTTCTCAGCTTGACATATAGAAACTTTGAAAGGGGGCCTAGTAAGAGGCCCTAGGTCACTAGGGGCATACCTTTGCAGAGGATTGTGGGAAACTGGTTTCTTTTCTTCTTTCTCTTTGTTCCCCAGCCCTGAGGTGAACATCTTCCTCCATATGCACAGTCCCAGGCCCAGAAACAATGAGTCTAAGAGACCTTGGACTGAAATCTCTTGAGAACATGAGCCATAATATACCTTTCTTTCTTACAAGCTAATTGAGGTATTTTATCACACTGGTGGAAATCTGACTAATACAATTACCCTTCACCTTATTGTTCACCCTTTAGGATCAAGACCAAGAGAAACAAAGTCCCACTCTGCAACCCCCTTGCATCCCTCTCTAAGGTCCAAGATCCAATCTGAAAGAGCTCTTCCCACACAATAATCAAGTCACTCCTGGTGAGAGAAAGGCTCTTATTACCAGCACAAACCCATAAGTGTCGTAATAATATAATGAACATCTGTAAAACAAGAGTTACACCAAGCACAGGTTTTACTAATGAAGCAGAGATAGGGACCAGATGGAAGAAAGACCTGAGACAGAGATTGGAAAGCTGTGGAGGTATGTGGGTTTAATATCCACAGTCTTACTCATGTCTTCAATTACACAGTTTGCAAAGCATTTTGTATCTTTTATGACCTTGCATCCACATCCCCATTCCTTTACTTTGCTAATTCTCCTCATGTTTTTTATCTCTACTGGGAATTTTCTCTGATAATCCTTCCCTAAGTTGTCCTTTCTCTTTTCACTGGAAATTATTTGAAATGCTTCCTCTGTTAGACTAAGTTCTGTGAGAATAATCTCAAATTCTCTGCTTGCAGAGATAAGTAGATAAGTGTATACTGGAACCAATGGAAGGATGAATTCAAATGCAAAAAAAGTGGGTAGATTTCTTATTCAAGATGCTAATTGCTTTCAGAAAAGAGGGGAGTGTGTCAAAAATAACGCTGAGAAGACTCCTTTAGGAAGAAGAACATTTGAGTGACAATGCAGCATAACTTAGCAGAATACTACCAGGATTCTGCCAGCTCATTTATGACTTGGGGAGTTTCCTACAAGTGCAATAACTTTCCCAAATAAAGTGGGTTAGACTCACTAAATATTGTTCTTCATGAGTTTCCAAATGGAGTGTTACCCCTATGAGAATTTTGGGAAATCAGGGCAAGCTACCTGGAGTCTTACTTACCTGAAGTCTACTGAAAGGTCCAGCAAGCAGTGGGAGATAACAGGAGATAACAATTAATCTTTAAATAAAGGATGCTGGACAAAGGCTGCCCCCATTAGCAAGAAGGGAGGTAAAGAGGGAGGAAGGAATTAGGAAGCCAAGGTAGCTCCTTGCTTTGAGGAGCACAGGGCCAGGTAAAGCTTATGAGTTCACAGCTGAAAGAACCAACTTGCCTTTGTGTGTGTGTTGGGATTGGGAGGCAGAGAAGAAGATAAAGAAAAAAGAAGAGGGTATCAAAAAGATTTGCATTTCTCAAGGAAGAAAACCTTACCTACTTCAATACTAGACTCTAGTATGTGGAAAACTCCAGAAACACCTCATGGCCTTTATATATTCTTCACAGAAATCTGTTTTCTCTTTACACTTGGAGAAGATTTGTTTATCTGCAAGTCCAAGTTCTATCATTAATTGCCTCTGCTAGTAGTCAATTTTTACTAAATGCTTACTAGGTTTACTATTAGACCTACTATAGGTGACTGCTATGGACTGAATTGTGTGTCACTCACCGCTCCCAAATTCACATGCCAAATTTCTATCCCTCACTGTGGCTGATTTGGAGATAGAGTCTCTGTGAGGTAAAGTTAAATGAGGTCCTGAGTAGGTCCCCAATCAGAAAGACTGACGTCCTTCTAAGAAGAGGAAAAGACACCAGAGTGCTCTCATCTACCATAGGAGGAGGCAGGAAGAAAACAGCCATCTGCTAGCCAGAAAGAGGGTTTTCACCAGAAACTGAGTCTGCTGGACATTAATTGGACTTTCTGGTGTTCAGAACTATGAGAAATGGGCTTTACTGTATTAAGTCATGAAGTCTGTGCTATTTATGGTACCCTGAGCAGATTAAAGGAATCATATCAAGCAAAATAATCTGACTGCTAATTTGAGCCTTTTATATTTCACTGAATCTCTTTACTCCTTACAGGATTGGCTCATTCTTCTTTTTGTTCCTTAGCACAACTTCTCATATAGCATATACAGTATTTGTCAATTTGTTTTAATTTACTTCTTAGATGGGGCCTTGCTGTTTTGCCCAGACTGGTCTTGATCTCCTGGGTTCAAATGATCCTCCTGTCTCATGTGTTGGACTCCCATGTGCTGGAACTGCAAGCATGTGCCAGCATGCCTAGCTACTATTATCACTTTTAGCACATATTTTTTTTAACATTTAAGTATCTCTGAAATCAGAATGCATCTTAAAATTGAAAGGCTATCATAGTTTACTTTTTAGAGAGGTCCAGAAGATAATACAAAAAACAACAGCATGCCTTTCTGATGGCATCTTAGATAGAATAACACATAGTATATTGTATTATAGAAGATTATGAATCTTTATCCCCTACTAAGCTGTGGATTCTTTGAAGATAGACTGATTTATCTAGCTTCGTGTCCTTAGGACCTAACACAGTTATTTGCACATAAAAGGCATTTAACACATTTCTTCAATTATGATAAAAAGGAGTAGCATCTACTTGACAAGATCACACGTAATAGGGGCTGGGGATTTAGCTCAATGATTCCTCCACCTGCCTCCCAAGTACAAGGTCCAAAGTTTGATCCCCAGTACCAAAAGAAAGAAGATCACACGTGATGGCATTGAGTCATAACTTCTCGTAATTTCAGTTAAGTCCTGTCTGGCCCTAAAGTTCTGTGAAACTCCACCTTAGAAATTAATTCAGCATATGTCTTATCTGCTTGACATATTATTATCTACCCTTTGGGTTGGGTTACAGAAATTTTTAATAAATTAGAACAGTTCTATTAAGCTAAATTAAAGTAAATTTTTTGATGTAGAAAATATGAAGTATTTCTTCATTTATTTGAACTTATGATCTGTCACAGCAATTTTAATAGTTTAATTGTACATTTAGCACTTTATCGAACACTTGCTAAACTTGAGGTCAGAAATAATTTCTTACATTGTTAAATATTCTAGAGATCTGCTGTCCACATTTTTTTGCTAATCTATTTGTAACAATATAGGAAATAAGCCGGGTGTGGTGGCGCACGCCTGTAATCCCAGCACTCGGGAGGCTGAGGCAGGAAGATTGCTGCAAGTTCGAGACCAGCCTGGGCTACATAGTGAGTTCCAGGTCAGACTCAACTACATAGTGAGACCCTGTCTCAAAAAAACAAAAACAAAAACAAATAAAAAATATATAGGAAATAATTTCATATTACTTATTTTGTCAAAATAGTCAACGCAACACTATTTAGTGATTAGTTGATTCTTTGCTTTTCAAACTAGACCATATTTATCATAAAGCAATTTCTTCTACATAAATACATCTACTTTTGGACACTTAAATGTGTCTCTTTTTATATTGTTAAAGTTTCTCTATCACAAGATTAAATATTTTAATTACCATGCTTTATATCAAGTATTAATTGCAAGACAAGGCATTCTTTCCTTGTATTTTTATTCGAGATTTATTTGGCTAGTGTTAGTCTTAAAGTTATTCATATGATCATTACAAAGAAACTGTCCAGTTACACACACACAGACACAACACTGTGCCAAATAATGCATAGTGTTGTAACTTTCTGAAGCAGTTCTGGAAATCCTCTTCCATGTGTGTTTTGAAGTCCTGAATTGATTCAAAATGCTTACCTTTTGTGATCATTTTAACTTTAAAGAAGACTCAAAAATTACATGGTGCCAAATCCAGTGAATAGCATGAATGAGGATAAGCCATAACATTTTTAGAAGCCTGCCTTTCCATTGGATGGCATTCAGTAACAGCATTCATCATACCTTTGACCACATCTTGTAAAGATAATCAAGAAAGAAGACTTCTAGAATTGTTTCAGAAAGTGGCTAGAACGATGGACTATACATATTCAAAGTGAAGGTGAGTATTCTGAAATTAATAAAAATGTGTCTCATTGCTATATCACCATATCTTTCTATCAGTTCTTGTATATGTGTGCATACATGAATCTCCATGTGTGTTCCTGTGTGTACTTATTCAGCCTTTTGTTTTTCTGTGCATTATTTGGTAAAGTAAAATTTTTAAACCTAATTTTGCAAATTTAGATCCAATTCCATACAAACTGTAAATTGGATGTGGTACTCAGATCACAACAGTGCTGCTTTTGGTCCATACTATGTTTTTTTAATTTTTGAATTAGGTATTAGAAATAATACATTTAAAAAGCCATTCTTTTAGCTGCTTCTGAAAAATCAAACACCTTGGTAGCATTTACCAAGGCATTCATCACAGGACAGGGGCTGCCTGTTCAGAGACACAGAACCCAACCTCCCACAACCCCACTGGGTGTTATTTAACCTACCTGCTTGCTTAAGGCATTGGAGTTTGTGATGGATTTTGAAAAGAAGGACTTGATCATTTAGGCCTCTAGCTTAAGAAGGCTCATTAAACTTTAATAATGAACAAATTTCCCAGAAATTCAGTAATGTTCTATATGAATTTATGGTTTCAAATAGTTACGTTTTCCCCTGCAAATAGTTTTCACAATTTGTCTTCTGGAAAAGGAACTTTTTTGTGTTTTAGGGATAATATTTTAGGGTGTCAACTTTGATAGTATTTAAACAAAAGGGAAAAATATTTGAGAAAAGTCTAAAAATGTAAAACAGAAGACTGGGTTGCCAGCATGGTCTGGCATATGTATGTATTATATTAATGGCACTCACAAAACACACTGGTAATCAGCAGAGAGTCATACAGGTTTCTTTTCCTGGGCCTCTCTCTTGTCATGTATTACATGAAGAGAGGAAGTAAATGTCTAGTAACTATAACAGAAATGTTTTATTCTATATATATAAAAATGATGATCACAGTCACATATATTACATTTTTTAAAAGCTCTAATCGTAATAAAATGTGGGTATCTATTTTAGTGAGAGTTCCTTGTTTAGTCATGCGCTGTTTGTATTAGGATAAAGTTTGGTTGGAAGTGAGAGAAAATCCAAGGTAATAGGCTTAAACAAGATTAAAAGTTAGGGTGGGGGGAAAAAAGATGAAAGTTTATTTTATTTATATGTAAACATGTCTGGACATAGGTTGTCCTGGGCAGTTGTCATGGGACTGTGTTGTTCAACTTTCCATATTTATAACAAAACACTTGAAATAGCTCAAAAAGAAGAAAAGTTAAGTTTATCTCAGTTTTGGAGGTTTCAGTCCATGGTTGGTTGGCTCCATTGCTTTGGCCCTGTGGCATGGCAAGAGTGTGTGGTAGAGGAGGATGCTGACTTATGACAGACAGGAAGCAAAGAGAATAAAAAGGAGGGGCTGGCACATGTCCAGTTAACTAACTTCTGCTCATCAGGCCCCACCTCTTAAAGGTTACACTACCTCCCAATACTTCTATAGGCTGGAGACCATGTCTTTTTCTTAAGTGTCCATTGGGGACATGTATCCAATCCATAGCAGTGTCTCAGGATTACTTCCTTCTTGTAGCTTGGTAGTACAAGACCTACATTTCCAAAATTACCTTACAATCCAAGATGATATTTTAACTTTAGTAATCTTGGCTACGGGAAAGAGAACCAGAATATTGTACAACTTGTACTCCATACATAATTCCACCTTTTCCAAGAAGTTCTCAGCTAATTAAGATTAAATCTGTAATTTCTCTTACAGATTCACTTAAAACTTAATGGTAGTTGATTGTCAATATTTAAATACATTGTATTACATATATATTACATTACATTTATATTGTACATATTCTCAAAATCTATTATCTTCATTTTCTTAAAACTAATATTCTCAAAAAAATAAAATATTCTCAACTGTGGTAACACATTAGAATTAGTTGGTAGACTTTAAGATAAAAACTAATTCTCCTGGTGCTGCTGCTGGGTGTGGAACTGAACTTTGAGAACCACTGCAAAGGCAAAAGTTGGCCTGAGAGTGGGCGAATGGAGGTTCTCAAAACCATAGGTGGTGTCAGTGTCTCATTTGTACACAGACCCTAAGGGAAGCTGGACCACAAAAAGCACAGCTTGGGGCTTCAGGAAGACAATCCTGAGCCCAAATTGACCCCATCATATGAGGCTACATACGTGTGAAAAGACCACATAGGCCTGTATGACCAGGGGTGACACAGAAGTAGCAGCAGCAGGACACAGGACTGAAGGCTCATCCCCATTCTTTCTAGGTCTATGAGCAGTCTCAAGGAAAGGAATAGATACAAAAAGAACAAATATATTGCATTTTCTACCTCTCTTGTATATGAAAGCTGAGCCAGATTGGGTTTAATTTTTTTTAAATATTATAGTTGTTTTGACTCAGGTGTCATGGAACAAAATTGCAACAGTGACAAAAGCTGATATGAATGGGGAAATAACATGAATAACACTTTATTTTTCTATATGCATTCTCAAGCTGCTGTGGTCTGAATGTCTGTGTTCCCACAACATTCATATGTTGAAACCTAATCCTCAGTGTGGTGGTTTTAGGAGGGTAGAGCCCTGATAAGTGGGATTAGTGCCCTATAAAGGAGGCCTCAGACAGTTGTCCTGCCCTTCCATCAGGTGAGGACACCACAAAGTGTGGTTCCATGACCCAGCAAACAGACCCTCACCACATCATATCTGCTGGTACCTTGATCGTGGACTTTCCAGCCTCCAGAATTGTGGAAAATAAATTTCAGTTGTTTATGGGATATGTAATTTATGACATTTTGTTATAGCCACCCAAATGAATTAAGACCCATGCTCTGCTTTCTGGTTTTAACTATAAATCTACCCTTTGAGTAAATATAAAGCAGAATGGGAGAGTAATGTCAGTAGAGATTTATGATGATACTTAAAGAATCCCAGGTGTTTGCCTTTTAGACTCTGGGGGTTTGAAAGGGACAAAGAAGAAAAAGCTAAAGAGTTGCCTTTAGGCCTATCTTATAGTTGAGAAAACTGCCATTTTTTTCACTTTTTTTTCCTCATGAGTTTATTGGTACATTTTAGGTATATACACTTTAAAATTTTTACCCAGCCATATTTATATCTATATCTATCCAAATAAGTGGGCTTTTAACTACATGTTCACACATATGATCCAGGCAAAGACAGGCCTATTTTATCCTAAATTACTCTGAATTTTTGTTTTATATATTAAGACTCTCACTCTTATCTTTTTATTATTATTTTTAAATATCCTTGTCACGTAAAGTAGATCAGCTTCTTAAAATGGGCTTAAGGTCAATTCACTAGTAGCTAAGGCATTAAACCACAAGCGTCTAATTCCCTTCTTAAATAAAACTGGGCCGTTTATCAAAACCAGACTGATATACTAACAATACTCATTCAGTAAATTATACCAAAGATTATACAAAAGGACTTTTTCTTGGAAACCAGAATTTAAGCAAATAAAGTTTGACCAAATATGAGATACTCACTTATTTTTATTTCATTTTTTAAATGATACAATAAAATTTACAAATTATAAATATACAATTTAAAGAGTTTTTAACCAATGTATAGCCATATATTCAACATACAGTTATCATAGATAGTGGCATATTCACTTGAAGCAGTTGTGTAAAAGAGAAAGCATGTATATGCAAGGTGGCCATGGAGAGAGAGAAATTTGAGACCCAAGTCTCAAATCCACCTTCCCAAGAATAGAGCTGGGAGATATTCAGGGTATGAAGAAGAAGGGTTAGTGAAGGAGTAGGGATAGGCTGTTGGAGATGAAACAATCTAGTCCTGTAACCGTCAAACTTCATGGATCTTCACAGGACATATGTTCAGAAAATGTTGGTGTTAGTATAATCTGAAGGTACAGCTTGGACCATCTGACATCAGAGTGGCACCCATTGGACTTCTGTGTTCAGGCCCAAGTGAAAGATCCATGGTTTTGACAAAAGTGTCCTTCAGATCCCTAAAAAGTAAGCTAGGAAAATATTTTCACCCATACATCAACTGTGTGATCTCCAGAATTTATGATTTATTACAAAGTCAAAAGCAAGAGAAGCTAGAGAATTTTTCACGTTATCCTTTGATTTTAGTTTTTGTAATTAGAACTACAATCATTTTTAGTTAAATTTCATAGGTCAGCACTGCTTTGTCAACAAACCATCTTTTCTCTGTAGTTTCAGGCTACATTATTTCATGTGCGTTCACACACACTGGGTTGCTGTGTATCTTTGTTGTCATCTTTGGCATTATCCCCTTTTGTAAAATTCCATATGATTTCTTTCTAGAAAGTCTTTTTTGCCTTAAGACTGTCCCTCTCACTTTGCTCAGGTTTAGGCAATAAATAAATAAGGCACCTGCAGTGGGTTCTGTGGTGTGTTGCTCAGATTCCTTTTCAGGATTGAGACACTAATTTCTGCTGTGCACTTGTAGGTAAATGATTGCTTACAGCTACACCTCTCTCTAAGCATTATCCTCATTTGCAGGAATGTGCCTTGCCCCAGGTTACCCCTCCTCCCTAGAGGCAGCCATATCCAATGACATCTTTGCTGTGCAAAGGCATGGCCACATGGCCTCCTGAGGGCAACTTTGGACAGTAATTCCAGGTCCATGGCTTCCCGTGAGATCAGCTGCAGTCCCTGATGAAACTACATGGCAGCTGATGTAATATATATCACTATCTTACAGGCACTGGCTCAAAGTTATTCCCAACATGAACTGCTCCATGCAAATCTCGAAGTCCTAACAGCTGCTTCTTAGGGGATCTGACCTGCCATAATCTAAAAGCATATAATGTCATTTCTCTACTTAAAATCCTTTGCCAGCAGACTTAACAAATTAACTCCTTAGCTTGGTATACAATGCTGGCTGCAGTCCATATCCCTCTCTTCAGCTCTGTCACCACTGACTTTCCTTCAGACAATCTCACACATCTCTAGTTCCACATTTACCATACCCACTTCTTTGCATATAACCTTCTCTCTGTCAGGGATAAATGTCCCACTTTCTGCTTATTCTTTCCTAAAGCCATGAATCAGATAATACTTCCATTGGGAAGTGTTCTCATTAAGGAAGTCTCTTTCATATAGGTGTATGTAACTCTACATAAGAATTTGAAACTAGCATTGACCTATGTTTCCCTTCTACATAGGGAGTGCCTCTACCTGGGATCTCCAGTGCAGTACTCAGTATATTTTTGGTGAATGAATGAATGAACACTGAGGTAAGTTGGGCATTATTAAAAGTATTAAACGCTTAGAAATTTAAGCTTCATTTATGTCGATATATCTTTTATCTGATTGAGAATGTTATGAATCTTTAACAGTGTCTGTATTTTTTAAACTTTTTGGCATCCTCAGCTGCCATTTTGATCAGCAACAAATCCAGCCACACACTTCTAAATAAAAGGAAATAGGTCTTTAAAACTAGCTTCCTTATGTTTTTTAAAGGGAAATAGGGAGGACTGAGATTGGAAACATTAATGCTTTCAGAAAAAACTATTAAAAGAAGAGAAACCTGACTAAATTGGATTCGTTACCGAGAGACTGGAAATTTTCTTCCCATTCCCAACAGGCTTTTTATCTTGCTTTTCCACATTTCAAAATGTCAAATTAACTGCAAAGTTAATTCCCACTACTAAGGAAGGAATTCTAAAGGTTTTAATTAAGGATTACTGGGCATTTTAATTTTATTAATCAGAATGAACTTTTTAATAATGAACAATTATTTCTTCGCTTCTATGTATTTATGTTCTTATAGAATATTACCACACTTAACATCAGTACTTTATACTACAGCATCCAGAGACTTGGGTGACTTTTAAAATAAGAGCTATGTCTATTGATATATTGGATTTTATGACTAGGGTTCCCTCCAAAAATTATGGTTTTTTTTTTTAAAGATAAATTCTTACCAGGATGAGATCTTATCTTGCAGGAAACCATGGATTCACTGGAGAATGATTCGGATTTCATTCTCATAAAACATGAAGTACTTTTTACATTCTTTACTGTCTCAGTGATTTATCTAATACATGAAAATAGTATGTAACATTTTCAAAGCATGTATCTTTACAAAAATCAAACAGTCCAAGGTACTAAAGGGAAAAAGAACAAAATAAATTCTTTTTTATAACACAACAAAGCACAAAGATAAAATGAAAAAAGACTTTCGTGTTTGAAGTATCCAAGGATTTAGTGATTATGTCAAATTCACTTTTTCATAATATCAGACACATTTAAAAAGTTGGAATTGTTGCTTTCCTTCCAAATAAAAGTTGAGAAGTTTATAGATTCTAAATTGTGAAAAATGTAGACTAAAAAAAACCCAATTCAAAATTAAAGAATGTTTCTTTTTCCAAATTTGCCTGCTTTTTAATATTTTATTTGGGCTCCAGTGCTATTTTCTTTCAGTAAATGTGTTACTCTGATTCAGAAATACTATTTAAAAATATAACTCCATGGAAGGGAAACAACATTGGAAGTTATGGTGTTTCAAGTAAAACTAAATTATGATGCCTCAAATAGTTTTAATTCAGTCATGAGTTTATTAGCAAAATAAAAATTTTAGCTTTTTATGTATATATAGAGAAAATACATACCTTGAAGCACTTTGTTCCCTCATCACCTTGATAGACAGAGATTGTTATTACCAATAGTGTAATACAAGCATACAGAGAGTCTGGAATTCTGTCTGCAAAACTTTAGTTCCTACCAAGGGTAGCAGCTGTTTTAAATTTAAGAGGACAGGAGTGAGTTAGTGACATTTTGTAAGAAATAAATGAGCCTTCAGCATACACCAATTGCTGGTAAATCCAGAACATGATAAACATTGTGGAGCAAGAAATCAAAATAGGAAACACACCTGCAAAGACTTATTTTCAAAAGAAAAGATAAGGCTGAAGAATTGAGAGATTTGCTGAAGTTTCACTGTTAATCTGTTTTTGCATCCCTCCCTTCTCAGGACCAACTCTGAATTCAATAATTCTCATCAACTCTGAGAGTTTGATAAAATATACAAACCAAAACAACCCCTAGAGTATCAAATTCCATTTTAAAATCAGGAATGTGTTCCAAGTGATTTTTCATTAACATTTACTTCACGTAATTTTCTTCCTTTGGTGTATATTATGCTGTTGTTATAAAATAGCACCAATGTTTTTAAAACAAGCAAAAATTAAATCAATGAATAAAAAAATTATAAAACATAAAACTGCCACACCTGCCTCACAGAATCAAGGTCTTGAATTCAATCCCTGGTACAAAAAATAACAACAACAACAACAACAAAATGGAGCTAACACCAATTTAACATTAAATGCATATTTTATGTTATCCTTGGTTGACATTTTAGAAAACTGATGAAAAAGCTTGAATAAACCTTTTTAAGTCAGTTGTTTAGAGTTTTAAACTACAACTTTCTAGTACTTTTACATACACATAATTGATGTGATTATAAAAATTTCATGTCTTCATAAACCCTACTCAGAAACAAATTCCCCCAAGTTAACATTTTAATTCTGTGAAATAGATTATCCTCATGTGTGTAACATACCCTACAAACTATATGTATTACTTCCTTGTCTTTAAATCATTATCTAGCCTGTGATCTCCCTGAAACATCTTTAGCAGCAGAATTTAATGGGGAACAAAATTCAAAAGCAAAGCTGTGATTTTCAGGATTCCAGATCAGGCATGACAAGCACAGTATGAAATAGTAGGTTTGGAACTAGGAGATAATGACTAAAAATGGCATATTTACTATCATTATTATTCAGAAATGTTTTGGAGATTAGATTAAAACAAGGCAAAAATTAATATAAATCCTGGAAAACAATAGGCAGATTATATTATTTACAGAAGTTCTTATAGAAAACCCAAGAAGCTATAGTAAACCAATTATATTAAAATAATCATAAAGTGACAAGAGGTAAGATAAATTCACAAATATTAGTGGCTATTCTCTAATATCACAGTGGCTTGAACAACCATGTATTTCTTGTTAACATCACATAAAAGCTGAGATTTGGTGTTGGGAGACACCTCTGCATGGCTCTCATATTTGTGCATTTCTTTCTGGGTATGCTAAACATATAGGGCTTGATCATTTCTACCCATCATTTTCTCAGGGTCATGTTTATTGTGGGAAATCTTGAAAGAGGTAATTTCTACTTTGGGGGCAAAGAGCAGGTTTGCCCACTGCTTGCTATGAAATAATAGGATTTCAAGCCCAGTATTCTTTTCCTGGAATGAAACCTTTTATTTGTCCCACTCATTCATCTGGGCCCATTCACATTACCACTGTCAGGATGAAGACTCAGAGAGTAGACTCATACATGCTGACATTCTCACTTCAGCTTTTCCTATAATAAAGTCTTTGGTCTCTGACCCAGATGTTTTCTCTCAGTATCCATGAAACTGGCGAGTTAACATGTTGGCTTGAGTGTAAGGTAAAATATGAGATTCTTTACGGTTCTCAACAATTGGCTGCTGCTCTGCTCCAAACTATAGGTTGGCTGGAAGTCTGCTTTCACAAGCATTCTAATTCTGAGATCTAGGTTGAAGGAGCAGCTCTTACAAAGACATTTTCATGCTAGAGAGAAAACACTCAAGAGGCTAAGTGTTATAACACAACTGAATTTAAAACTTATGCTTGGATTAACTCATTTCATGTCTAATCACATCCTTTGCTCAAAGCTAGTCGCTTGGCCAGGCCAAATGGGGAAAGGAAGCATGCCTTATCTCTGAAGGTATTATGAAATGTTATGGTTTGGATGTGGTTTATTATCCAAGGTCCCTGTGTTGGAAGCTTAGCTCCTGGGATAGTGTTTTGGGAGGTGGTGAAATTTTTAAGAGATAGAGCCTAGAGGGAGATCTATAGGTAATTGGAACATACCCTTGACAGGGATTAAGGTAGCTATTGTGTGATGCATTGGTAATTCAAGAGAAAGCATTGTTATTAAAGCCTGAGCCTGACACCACATAACTTCTCTGGCTTCCTGTTCAAGATGTGATCTCTTCCTCAGGCTCATGCTTCCACCGTTTCTATACACCATCCTGTGACCCAGCTGAGAGAGCCCCCATCAGAACTTAACTGATACCAACACCTTGAACCATCACCACTGTGAGCTAAATCAATCTCTTTTTCTCATAAGCTGCCTGCCTCAAGCATTTCATTACAATGGATGAAAAGCTGACTAATAACACAAATTATATTCAACAAGCATGGATGCCTAATCTTAATACAAAACAAGGAGTAGGTTATAGCCATTAGTAGTGCAGCCTACCATACCAATGTCAGCCAGTTAGCTATAAACTGAAAATAAAATCCTCTTCATAAAGGCAAAAACTATTAATACGTTTAGCAAAAATTATAATATCTATGGAAAAAACTTTAACGAAGGACCTAGTACCTCAATAAATGGAAAACATGCCATGTTGTTTGATGGAAAAATAGTATAAAAACGTCTCCATTTTAATATATGTTTATGCAAACTGAATCAGAATTGCAGTTTATGGTGCATTTTGAAATAAAAGTGAGTTATATGTCTGCATATAAACCAGTTGGATCATCCAGGAAAAACTGCTAAGTTATAAAGCAAGTGTCAGGAAAATGTGCTATAGAGTACTAAGAGTAATAAAAATGCTGCATAGTTATGTACATGTAAATATAAATATGAAAATACGTGTTTGTCTGTGCATAAAGACTAGGTGAATGGATGCCTTGATTTATGTCAGAGGGATGAGTTTGTGCAGAGGCTAGGGGATGTTTCTTTTTTCTTTATATATCTTGGTATTGCTTGACAATGGAATTCAGTCTAATACCAGCTAAGAAACCAGAGAGTTCTAAAGATATTTTAAACCTTGTCTAAGTTTCCATTAAAATATGGCATGGTTCAAGCTGCTCAGTGTACATACATAAGGAATGAACAATTGTCTTGCTCATTAGGCTCAGGTATAAGGAGGAAGCTAGGTAGTCATGGACCAACAGCCATCACCATTGCTCACTACTCTCCAAAACCAGCTTGGCATTCTTCTAAAGATTCCTTATTGATATACATACATATATAACATTTCATATATATATATGGCAGCTGCTATGGTTTGGATATGAAATGTTATAGTTAGAGGCTTGGTCCCCAGCTCATGTACTATTGGGAATGGTAAAACTTTTAAGAAGTGGGGCCTAGAAGAAGGAAGTTAGGTAGTTGGAGGAGTATCCTTGAAAGGGATACTAGGACCCTGGCCCCTGCTCTCTCCCTGTTGCTTCCCAGCTGTCATGAGCTGGGCAGCTTCCTCTGCCATGTGCCCCTACTAGGTGTGCTGCCTCAGCATTGGCCCAAACATAATGGAGACAAATCTTCATGCTGCTATGAGCTGAAAAACCTTCCCTCCTTACAGTCCCTCTCAGGTATTTTGTCACAGTGATGGAGAGCTGAGAGTGGCAGCTGAAACACAAATCTGATGATATTCACTTTTATATCAAGGTTAAGTATAGGTATATTGCAAACAACAGAGGTCCAAGTTCCTCAGTGCATTTATATGGAAAAACAACATCCATCAAAGGAAACATATAATCCCTATCTCATTTTAACAGCATTTACATCAAATTCCTTATTTTTATGTAGGCAGATTTTATCACTACAGAGTGCAATTCTCTGTATCACGTGATATTAAATATATGGGAACATATTAAGAGATTTTAATGAAAATATTTTGTAAAAAGTCCTTTAAAACTTGTTATGTTCATTTATTTATTTTTGCAATGCTAGAGATTGAACCCAGGGCCTTAAATATACTAGGCAAATGCTCTACCACCTAGCCACACACCTGGCTCAGCAGTGCTTTTAATTCCTGGAGAACAACATTTCCTAACACTGGAGAAATTCTCAGAGAACTATGCATTCTGTGTGCTGCCAGAGTTTATCTGAGAGATTACTTAGAAGCTATCCTAGAGTTTTTATTTCTCAGATTCTACAGCCAGGCAAAAAATTTCTTACCTGATATTATCATGGTTTGAGTTTTGCAAAAGATCAAATCTTCATATTTACTTCCTAGTAGTTGTGTGCATCTTGTGATTTCCCGTAGGAATCTGGTGCTGTCCTGTGTGTTTCTGCATGACTTGCAGTTAAAGATGGAGTAGAAGAAAGAGCTGTTTTTGCAAACTATTGGGGATACAACTAAACCTAATAGTACTTTTCTTTGAAGCTCTTTCAACATTCTTTTGAAAAAATAAGATAAAAAATGGATTAAATAATCCTCATTTAATAGTTTTCCAGCAATGTAGAATTCACAGCAATGAATTTGGCAGGGGAAAAAAATCAGCTATTCAAGGTAAGCATTCAGATCCCTGCTAGGCAATCTATAAGGGTTATTTACATGATTATCAAGATAGTCAATCCCATGGAAAGTTCTAAAGTCTGTGCTTTACTTTGTGAAGATTTGAATGCTTGTAACAAAGGTATGTGCACCCCTGAAGTTTGTTATCAAAAGGAAAGATATTTGGATGAAGAATGCAGGAAACTCATTTTTAGAACATCAATGAAACTACTAATTATTTCAAATTTTCAAAATTAATATTTCCCACTGATGCTTGGCATATTTGGCAGATACATTTGGAATTTTGTATACAGATCCTGAAATTTTAAGAGGAAACACCAATATTAATGTGTGTTAAGTATGCTTCAGGCAGTTATAACTAAAATCTAGCTAAAGGGGAGTGGATTGTTGTTTAAATTAGTGCCTTCTCTTTCTGACTTAATTCTTGAAAGTGTTTGTAGGGGAGAAATGTAAAATACCATCTACCCTGCCTGCAAGATAAATTCAGACCATATCTTCCTGATACTATGGTAGACAATTCCATTGCAAAGTTTGGACGCAGTGTTTTACCCACTTAAATTTTATATTTGCCATATAATTCTCAAGAAGAGATTTTGGGACTCAGATTTGATTCACAACTTCCAGAAAAATAATTTTGAAAACTTTTGGAGAAAATAGGTTCTGATTTTACACAAGATAAGTAAGCAAGTTTTGCATGTCCTTCTGTAATTTTTACTGTCAATGTTTGTAAGACTGTTTTCTCTAATTTGTGTATTTCTAGCTATGAGAATAAAAGCCTGATATAAAAAATGGCTTATATTATGCCCTTGCTTCCACAGTCCCCTCTAAACTCTGTCTTTCAGAGGAAGATCAGTGGTAAACTCAGTGTGCACATAATGTCACACAACTAAAGTCAAAAGTGTATATCTCAAGATAAAAGTTAAATATGCATTCTAAAATACAATTGCTTTCATTTGAGTTGTAATGTTTAATTTATTTTATAATTTCAACTGGAATTCAAGAAAACCAAGTTTTTGAGAAAGGGAGTAGTTTACAATGATTCCTGGCCTATTTTTTACTGCTTCAAGGAACATATCCTCTGGAGCAATAGAGAGCCAGTTCAATTCCCAGTACATGCTCTATGCTTTGTGCTTTCAAGCGTTCTCTGAAATTCACTTTTCCCCAACTTATTACCTAAACTAATTCCTCCTTGTCCTTCACATCTTGGATCAAGTGAGTCATTTATCGAGGCATCCAGGTTCTGACAGCATGGCTTTCCTTGTGTTCCCATAGCACTCACTAACCTGTAAGTGCATTTTCCATAACCCACACACTCTACACTGCCCAGTCCAATTTTTCTGTCCAATTTTTTATGTGATATCCCTCACAGAGTACCTGCTGCATGATTACATCTCAGTATCCACTGAGTGTCCAGCATTTGTAAATAAATGCACACAGGTCCATGGGCCACAGAGAATCAGTGTGGAGGAGTCAGTGATGAACTCAGTAGAAGCGACAGTGGGCAGTAAGGAGGGGTTCTACAGAGGAGGGGATACCAAACAGCATTCTGAGTGGAAGAGGTTACGCAAAAGGGAAACGGAAGGAAGCATGAAGAGCAAGAATCTCAGCCAAGAGAAAAGTATTCATAGGAAAAAGAATCAAGAAAAGAGGCAAAAGGCAGGGAGGATTAAGACCATGAGTAATCCTGGGGACTGGCAAACTGAAAGTGTATGACTCACCTAAAGAGGGGGCAGTAGCTTGCCATGTGGAAACTTGGAAGCTAATATTAATAGGTCTTTTTCTTTTTTTGAGATTGTTTAGAAGTTGAATATATGCCAGGTGTGGTGGTGCATGCTTGTAATCCCAGCACTTGGGAAACTGAGGCAGGAGAATTGTCACGAGTTCAAAGTCAGCCTGAACTACATAGTGAGACCGTGTCTCAAAAGAAAAAAATTCGGATGTGAAATCTTTCAGGTTTAGATGTTGGCAAGTAATGTAAAGTCTTAATAGGCTCGAAACACACAAGGGGTACTCAATATATATGGTGAATGTTTAAATTCAAAACATTATGGTAATAACCCTCTCAAAAATACTCTCCCTCGTACTCTTCCCTCACTTCAAACACTTACTACATCATTCTTGCCACTTTCTGAAGCAGTCCTGGAAGTCTTCTTTTGTGTGTAGCTTTCTGAAATATGATAAAAAATATGGTGAATGCTTTTTGTTGTGTACCACCCAACAGAAAGACAGTCTTTTAAAAACATTACAGTGTGTCCTCATCCACCTTATTCCCTAGGTCTGGCTATTCCCCAAAGTCAAAATGACCATAAAAAGTAAACATTTTAAATTGATTCAGGACATCAAGGCAGCCATGACATAGCAACTGAAAACATAAAAGAAGACTTCCAGAACTGTTTCAGAAAGTGGCCAGAAATACAAGTGTTTTCCAAGTGAGTGGGAGTATTTTGAGGGAGATTAATTGCACTATGTCTTTTACTATAATACATATTTTTAAATTTAAACAATTTTGATCACATCTTGTACACCCTAGGGCTAAATTTTTCTGACACCTTTTTTATATCCTTAGTCTCTGGAAAACAAACCCCCTGACACAGTAGGCCAGTGGTCAGATGGCAGTCTGGGAATTATGTGGAAAACATCCACTTTATCTCTGTGGCATTTCCTATCGACCTTTACTTACTGTCAACAGCATGTCCCCAGTATGAATGTTCTCCCTCAGCGTGAGAGCTCTACTGAATGTGTAGGTAACTGTAAGGAATTTCACACTCCTGAGTGAAATGGAAAGATCTGGAAAAAAAATCACTCTACATAATTTCATCTCACACGTTAAGAAAATCACCATGGGAAACTGTAAAGGAAAAACAACAAAAGACCCAAAGAAAGAAACATGGCAGACATTTACTGTCAGAGCACTTAAAGAGAAGAGGGAAAGGGGACAGTCAAATGAGTTTGCTGTGTAGCTGAGGGATGAGGCAAAGTGGTCATTGGTCAAAAGCAAGCTCAGGCTATTTATTTAGTACATTTGTGTCATTAATAAAAAGAAAGGAAAGTTTAGTGACTATTATGTTATTTTTTCAACCTCGTGTGAATGTTCAAGAGTTAACATCCCTTGACAAATAATCCAGTATGAGAAAAGCGATTTGAGGCTGGTCTCACATCTGCTTTATTTTAAACTTTCTACACAGGAAAAACAGTCCTGATGACTTTGCCCAGTTTTTAAACTTGGAATTGTCTTCCATGGAACAGAAAGGGCCTCACACACATTGAGATTAATCTCATGGTGTTGAAACTTCTGAAAACCTGGCATGGGCTTTTCTCCTTAGGTTGGAAACCTACATAGGAAAGCTGTGCAATTAGTAGACAAATGTGGGGAAATTTTTAACCTCATTAGCAACCTAAATTAGATGAATAAAAGTAGCAGTAGCATAACCTTAGTAGTTTGGACTAAGGATGATTTCTAGTGCTTTCAAATTGTAATTTGTTCTCTGAAACATTGCTGGAAGCAGTACAATTGTGACAATCCCTATAGAAAAAGAACTTGGCTGTGTGTTTCAAGAACCACAAAATATCCTGGCTCTGTGTCTTTTGGAATTTAATTCGAAATGTATAAAATAAGAAAACCCATGTACATAAGATTTTTTTTATGTCACCTGTATTTATAAGATGCCAAGGTACCTATATAGGGGCTTACAGTTCAGTATGTTGCTTTAGGTTGATACTCTGAGCAGTGGAGTTTAAGGTGGGGATTCTTGAGATGGGATTTAGTGCTTTCAGGGAGTGAGGCCTCAGGGGCTGAGGAAGAAGTTGGATGAGTATGTAGGTTTGGCTGAGAATTCAGTACCTGGAGAGGGAAGGCCTGCTTGGAAAGAGGCTGTATAAACACAGGCTTCTCCTATCCAGATTGGAGGGTAAGATGGATATGTAGAATCTAGTTCAATCTGTGCCCAAGTCCAGCATGTATCTAGGACAGATCTCCTGGACCAGAGGGTTAGGTTTGGTCTCTTTTTTTTCTGAGAACAGGCTGTTCCTGCGTCGGAATGGCTTCTTCCAGTGGGAGCTGCTAAATTATTTCTCCAATACGCCATGCTCCTTCCCTTCCACCCCACCTTCTACTACCACTCTGGCCAGAGATGAATAACTGAAGAGATTGACAAAAACAAAAACAGAGATGCTGACTGTGGGTGGAAAACAGAAATCTGGCTTATACTGGTTCAAAAGTTGAGGAATATATCTGTTTTTCTGGTTAGTGCTATCCTGATGTATCACAGTAACAGAATGGCTGAATCAGAAACAAGTCTTGTCTCCTTTGGGAATTTCTGTCCTGTTCTGGGGAGTGTGTGATTTTTAATTAAAAAAATATGCTTCTCTGTACAACCCTTTGAATGACACAGGCAGTGGAGAATCAGGCTGGATTTTGCATATGATCTACTTAATTTTAATTTACATTTTTAATTTTTTGTTTGTCTTTCCAGGGCATTTTAAAGAGAAATTGGAAGGAATTTCTAAGCTATCAGGAATGGCCAGTTTTCTGCCAAGTTCATTCAAAGGAGTTTTAAAATGGAAATCAGAAAAGTATTTACATATAGGAGAACTTTTTTTAAAGAATACTTTTATTACTTATTTATTTATTGTACCAGGGATAGAATTTGGGACCTTGTGCTTGCAAGGCAGGTGGCAGAATCACTGAGCTAAATCCCTGACCCAAGAATACTTTTGAATGGGTATCTTTACTCAAAAGGAC